TCTGCTTTTCTGCCTCCTACCGCACTTTTATATGTTTTAACTTAAAGGAATACTGTTCAACACATCTCTTTTAAGTTACTTTCAAAGTACGTTGTTAAATATACAACTGTAAGGGCTCCTGAACTGAAAGTGGCTGTATGTTTTGGTGGGCTTTCTAAACATTCTGCACAAAACACAGATGTGACACATCAAGTATACAGCTTTGCCACACAGGTCTCCAAAACATACAGTCGGTTTTTGACGTTCATGTGAATTTTAGCACAGTTGTTCCAAACAGCCAATTCAACTCTCTTTCACAGAGTGCAGTGAAAGTAGTGCAGTTTGGATACTCATAAGCATCCTATTTAATTCTGTATTTCTCATTCCCCAGTTTGAAAAACAAAACAAAAAATGTTTATTATTTCTGTGTTTAATAATATTTTTTTCTTTAATCTGGAGTTAAGCTTACCTTGAGCTTTTGCTTCTCATTCTTAAACGTATTTTTTAAAGCATTCTGAATGTAATGCTTCTCAGAGTTGCTGTTTTGGAATCTACAAGGTTTGTAGCAATATGTTGAATAACTAAACTGAAAACTAAGGACAGATGCCATTGCAGATTTCTTCATGCTTTCCCACTGACCTACCTTTAGCTGCATCGGAGGCACTTCTGCATTTTAGCACATGCTGTCATCAACTTTGTCATGTTTTAAGAGCTTCCAAAACACACTTGGTGCTGTCTAAATCCTGAGAGGTGACAGGTAAAACAGACAAATGTATCCTGCAAAAAAAGTGTAGTTCAATTGAGTTGAGTTTCACTGTTGATAGCATCACGGTTAAACACTGCAGTGTTCCTTCCATAATCCAGATCCAGATTTCTTACTGCAGCTCAAGTTCTACATTTTGAATTACACCATCCCAGCAATGATGAACAATTCTTCTGCTAACAAGTTGCTGAAACTACCAGCAGAGATGTCAGCTAAAAGGTGCACAGTTGTAGCACTATTAGTAGCAGCGAGAACATAAACTAACAGACATTTTTTGATGCTTCTTAGCACTCATCACAACAAAATCCAACTCTTCAAAATTTAATTGCATCTCAAATTTCTATTGAGCTGATTACATTTAGGATATTAACTGCAGCTAGAATGTAAAATGTCATGCAGCAGTTACGAATCTCTAAGATTTTAACTGCAATCTTTTCATCTTCATAAAAAAGTTATTTTCACAGTACTGATGAATTTCTTAGCAGGAAAATGTATTTATTTATCTTCGTATTTATTGGCAAATGAGGTATTACCTTCAGTATCTATGTATATAAACACAAAAAGTAGCACTTTATTTACCCAAATACCAATTGTATTGTAATGCTTCCAACAGTAGCCACACACACTTCTAACAGTGAGAATCCATGGGACTTACCCATTCACACCTACAAAGGAAACTGCTGGAGAAGGGAACCACTACATGCTGTGCTGCATCTTGCATGGTACAGGTTAGCTGCAAATATGAAAATATGGCTTCTCACACCTGTTTAACAAGTTTAGCAGAACAGACAGATTAATTGTAACTACAAAAAATAAAACAAAATCCAACTGTACTGCCAAGCTGGCATAAAACTGGAATGTATGCAATTATCACACTTGCTTAGGAGCTGAACTTGGAAGTACAGTTGGTTACTTGGGTGTCACAAAACTTGTATGGAGATTTCTCTGGCTGGAGGATTTAGTTATTGAACTTAGCAGAGTTAAGCCTTACTCCTCTTGGTTTCAGAAAACAGTACTTAGTCAAAATCCAGTTGTCTCAGAAATCAGCTAAAATTTTCTGATATTCTTAGTAATAACTGGATCAGCTCCCAGCATTAAGAACATGAATATTCATTAAAATAGAAGCTGTAGTTCAGTTAATGATAATAATCTGTTTTTTTCCTGACTGCACAGTTCTTTTCAGTGCTTTGGATAATCGAGGAGAAACAGCAAAGGGAAACTATTACTTAACAGTAAGACTTTCAGGTTGCAATAATGTACTAAAAATCAAGGGGCAATGTTTTGCACTGTAAAATGTCTTAATTTTTAATGCTTTTGGTTTGTTGTATTAAAAATTACCACTGGAAGTTACAGTAATTTCTTGATATTAAGTTGCCATCCTTGTGAGGTTAGAAATCCAAGGGGAACAACCTGTAAGGGCCAGAGCCAGAAGAGATGTTACAAGGCAGATCTCACAGAACATCCCCAGCTGGTCAAGAACAAACCATTGATTATGACTCCATCTTGGGAATAAATCAGCCAGCAGGGCTTTCTGAGAGGTGCAGAAAGTTAGCAATCCCTTGCTTTCCAGGAGTGAAAATGAAGGCTATTACTACAGCAGTATGGAAGAAAGTGCTTAAGCCATCCATTGTATTGACTCCAGTGTCACCACCACAAATGCAAGTGCATTTTGATGACTTGAGCAATCTGAGAAGGTAAACAGGAGAGGAATATACTGACCACCCCGCAATTCCTCCCTTCAGATTTAACCACACAGAAGCACATGGGTGAAATATTTGGTTTCAGCTCACGTCATACAGTTCTTTTGAGAAAAAAGGGATGGTAAACTTAGAAAGTCTGAAATAGCTAGGAACACACCCATCACATGCACATTTGACTTCAGGAGATAAAAGATTGTCACACAGAATAAAGAATGATACGATCGGTTTAACTCAAACTTGTGAGATGAGCTACATGACAAAAAGCAGTAAATGAAGCAATACTTAGACCATGCCCAAAGATGCAGAAAGAGGGTGTGGGAAAGAAAGCTGGCAGTTTATGTCAAAGATGTATCTATCTCATGAAATTAAATAGTGCAATAAAAAGGTTCACAATTGAAGCCGTTTATCTCATTAGAAAAATAGTATTTTTTATTCAGAGGTATTTTCTGAACATTTATCCTTACGAGAACTGTTACCATGGGTGACATCAGCCTGAGACACAATGCTGACATTCCTGTGGATGGAAGACTAAAGAGTCACTGGGTACTTAAACAGATCAGGATGAGGTTTATTTTTACAAAGCACCTGTCAGTGCAACTGAATGGACAAATGTAGAAGTGAAAAACATTAATGAGAACAAGAAATTACTCATATTCCTCTTACGCTTCTTGAACAAGCAAAAGCTTTTCATGTGCCAAGAAAATAACACTGGACAAGAAGGTACTCTGGTGAAAAGATGACACAATAAATAAGATTTGATGGGTTAATGGCTGAGGGCAGGGAGGGGATACCTCAACAAGTATGTTATGAACCCAAAACCAAATACAGAATCAGAATTACAAAATGGTCCGGGTTGGAAGGGACATCAAGGATCATGAATCTTCAACCCCTCTCACCACATGCAGGGCCACCAACCTCTGCATTCAATACTAAACCAGGCTGCCCAGGGCCCCCATCCAATCTGGCCTTGAACACTTCAGGGATGGGGCATCCACAACTTCTGTGGGCAGCCTGTTCAGAATCTGTGTAACCCAAAGCAATCAACAGTTTTCAAAATTATTAAGCTTACAGAATTAAAAAACAACAACAACAACAAAAAACCCAACAATTTGCAGCAAATGGGGAACATCTGTCAAAAGGAAGAATTTCACGTCAACAAGGGTGTATAATTAACAACAACAACAAAAATTAACTGAAAATTACCTTTGCCAAACTAGTTACATGTCATACAATCAGCTGAATGCAAGAGTGAAATATTGCCAAAAAATAAGGCAACATAATCCAAAACAGTGAATAATTTGATGAGGAACTTCGAGCCAGTTAATCGGAGAGCTCCCTTTAGAGAAACAATGGATGCATTATATGATCAACAAAGGAGGTGCTAACAAGGAAAAGTTGGCCAGCATCGTGGCAAAAAGGTATTGTCAAAAACATGACCTGGCTCACAAAGGAAGGAAGCAAAAAAGACAAACAAAATTAAACAAATAAATGTACAACATGGAATGATTGCCATCTTCTTCTCTTCCACTGTATCAGCCCACAACATTTGGTCTCCTTTCCAATGAAAAATAGGGAACGTCGCAAATAAGAGAAGCCCCTTCTCTTGTGATGCATTCCACTGCTGCACCGTTCCCTCATTAAACAGCACTAAGTGTAGCATCAAGTTCAGTCAGCAAAGCAGGAGGGAAAAATGATTTCATGCAAATAAAGTCTTAAATCATCCTATGCACTGAAACAATATTAAAACACTGTTTTAGAACTCAAAAAATTAAAGAGAGAGAGAGAGAAAAAAAAAAAAAAAAGAGACGACCAGAGTTCCTTTCAAACATTTTTCATGGCAGATTTTTAAACCAGGGTCTTTGACAGGTAGAGCTGTTGAAGAACAGACAGTGGCAGAAAAAAAATCGTGGCAGAGGACTGAAAGGGAAGATTTTTCAAGCAGTCTCATGAAGGCAACAACATGAGACCACAGTCTCTCTCTCCTATTTTACCTCACCCCTTCCCTTCTTGGTAATGGATGTTGTCCTGATCTGAGGCATTAATCCTGACATGAATGCTTCATTATGGAAAACTTAAAGGATTATGATTTAGGCTTCTGGCACTTTGAGGCCCAAGTGTGTAAATGCATGTTATTTCAGAGCCTCTGATTCTATGCATTTGATAGATTTGATGGAACCATCTTTCTCCCAGCTGCGACTAACACCAAAGGCTGGCGTCAGTTCTCATTTTTTGTTGTTTCAAAGTATGCCTTCATGCTAGGTTACAAATGTAACCATTAAGTCATGGAACCTAGGTTCAAGCTTGAAATACAGAGGGTAGGATTGAATGTACTAGGCAATTAACACTGGGAAGATTGTAAAATATAGCTAAAGACACAAGAGTGATGCTATATAAGGACATCCAACTTTTCTTGTTACTATGACATTGGCTATCCTTAACACAGCACTATGAATGATAGCAACACAAGACATTTTTAAAGATTTGTTTAGCTTAGTAATCTCTGAAGTCCTGAAATCCAGGCACGCTGCACTAAATATTACAAAGTATACAGCAGAGTGTTTAAAGCTTAAAAATATTTTATTTACACTTCTCTTTATACACATTTTTATACAATTTTTTTTTTTCAGTTTAAAAACTGAACAGAGCACAAATGCAAGTCTGAGCATACTGTACCCACAGCTAGGGAAAATTACCTTCTGCCAAAAAGAGACAAGAGAAAAGGCTTTTTAAAACAGTTTAAAAGAGGCAATCGTAAATTTTTTCAGATAAGTATATAGCAGCCCTGATGTAGTCATTAGACAGTTAATCCAAATGTACATATGAGGTCACATATATATTTATATATCTATATAACATTAATTTTATATAGGAAAAGTATTTCCAATTGCTAGACATAAACACAGCAGACTTCGAAAATAACTTTTCCTGTTATCAAATACATTCCTTTCAATACAAAGAATCTGATATTGTACACTAGAAACAAGAGGGATACTATAGCAGAATTGCATTCTCCAGCATATAATAATATACTTTAAAAAGATCTAAAAAAATAACAATATATAGGGAAAAATATTTAAAATTAAAAAACATAGCTCAATCTTCCCTTCACCTGTTCCCATAACTGATGTAGAAGTTAGGTGGGTTCCACTGAGGTAATACAAGCCCCCTAAGCGCAGCTGCAGTACAGTCCTACGTAACACTGTATCTCCTAGACTTACAGCAAAGCTTTCTCTACCGGACCCATAAATAAAATCTACCATCTGCAAATAGAAGTGGTTTTCCCCTAGCTACCAACTCAATATTAATCCAAAGGTATCTGACCATGGAAAGCTATTTTAAAAGACTATCTAAATGTTAATTCTAATTTGGGAAAAAAAAAAAAAATAGTAGTGATCTATTGAAGCTTTGCACAAAGAAGTAGGTTTTTCTGCCACCTGCCACATGACTGCTTTTATAATGTTTGCCTACAGAAAGGGAAAGTCTAAATTGTTTACAAACATCCAAACGTAGAATACAGATGCAAACGTAGTCATTAATATTTATTTTAAGCAGCTTCAAATTGCTTTACAAACATGAAAACCTCAAAACGTTAGCTACAGGACACTGGCAAGCTCTGTTCTAAACGGATTACGTGTATCTCTCCACTCTGTTCTCTCCCACATTCCTGTCCCTGCCACATGGGACAGACCATACTGACTGAAGTAACTTCACCAGGTATTTGTTACTAAATGAAGAACAGGCTGGATGTTTTCTTTCATTACCAAACCCCCGTAAGCACTTAGGCACGCATTTAATCATCTTTGTGCCTTTATGCTTTCTTTTATGTAACTTAGAGCTTTATGAATTCTTTATATTGGACTCTTCACGTGTGTAAAGTCCACATTTGAAGCATTAAAAAGAATGAGGGGCCCAATTCACTACTTTTCTAATGAAAAATACCTTTAAAAGGCAAATGTGATCTACAAATGTGATTGTCTCTATTTCTAAAAAGACCTTGTCATTTACAAAGGTGAAAGAAATTTATTTTTAGGGTAATTTGCATCTCCCTATAATGCTTACCTTCATTTCACGAAAGAACAGACATAATGAGCTAAGCAGTGCTTTTCTTTTCCTTTTTTCATTTGTACCTGCTGAATGTTATCCTTCAGTTCCTGAGCACCAGTGCTTCGTTCTTGACGCAAATATGTACTGTATTATCGGCAGGAAAAAAGGCAGCCCTTGTGTTTGTAAGGCAGGAGGTCTGTAAGAAATAATGGCTGCAAACCTCGGAGACCAGAGAAATATTAAAGTCACAAACCCTTAGAACTAGTATGAACTGCCACACTGCAGAAAGTGGGGCATCCCTATGTTTCAAAGGAGGTAACAAAAGCAGGTTGCCAGGTACATGACACACAGCTACTAGCCCCTCTCGCTGGCAGTGCTTTCTGAAAGAGCAGATCCTTAGAAAAACTACATACTGCCTCCCTGCAGTTCAATCAAAGGGGAAGGAATTTCAAAAGGGTTTTTTTCAGCCTAATACCTCCCACTGTGAAACCACTGCCAACACCTCATGGGGAAAAAATAAGCTATTTTTTTTCCTTACGTAGTAGTCTGCAAAGAATTATCTGTTCCATTACAACAGATAGCAGCAAGCTGAATGGCAACAGGCAGCGTTCAGCCAACTCACAGAAGCTCTATGCTTTTTATCCATTCTGGCTCATTTGGAAATAAAACTCCTTTCTGGAGTTAGATGCTAAATTAAGAAGTGAAGCCAATAATTTTTTGCTATAAGCGTGAATAAACTAGACTGTAACTCACTATGTCCACCTTTTCTTAAGAAAAGGCAAGTACACTTGCAATTTTAAAGGAGGTCATATGTTAAATTTTAAATATCTAGGCAAGATCAGATTTGCAAGTGTTGCAGGAAGGACGGAGTGGAAATAGACGAAACCCCCCTCAAACTTCCCAATCAAAAATTGCAACTTACCTTCTTCTTGACAAATGAAAGATGCTTTTAAAATCCTCCCTCTTTTACCCAGTTTACTTTTGCTTTTATTTTAACACTTAACAATCCGGAGCTAAAACTTTCAATAAAACAGAAGATACCCCTGTGACATAGAACACAACAATAACTGCCTCACAAGTTCCACTGCAGTGGAAAAGAGAACATAAGCCTCAAATTCATGCTTGAAACAATAAAAACATGGTAGAAATGTGAATTAACAAAACAATCTCACATTCCCCTGTGTTACAGCCAGCTTCTTGAAGACAAGACTGCATGGAGGCCCTAACCAACAGTTCAAGCTAGAATTTCACAATTCTGAACAATATCTTTCAGATCTGGACAGCTGAAGATAAACAGGAACTTAAAAGCAGAGCATCTAAAAATAATCTGGTTCTTAATGCTTCAAGTATCAATACACACCAAAGCCTTCACTAGCAGTTGCTTTGCCGACGAAACTCAGAAGTTGCTTAAATACAGACCTGAAACATGAAACACTTCCATCGTTACCAATACTTCTAATTAAGTCTTAAGTAATATCCATTTACTACACTTGAATCATGGAAAACCAGATTCCCAGAACCACATCCATTTCCCAGACAAGCCCTTGTGGTATAATATTGTATGCTACAAGGGCTGCTCCAAAAGTAATGCCTCCTGTTTTATTATGGTGGCCTACAACATCAGAGGTCGATGTCGGTGGTATGGCAGTAGATTCTGAACCTTCCCACCCATATTCCATTCCCTTTTGTTGCTGTGTGACAGATGGCCGCATAGGGACAGCCTGACACAATGATGTCTAACATGGAAGTGCAGGTGAAATAATGGTGTGGAATTTAATTCCTCCATGTGGAAAAAATGGCACCTACTGATGTACAACACTCACAGAATGTTTCTGGAGATCCAAGAGTGGATGTGAGCACAGTGAAGTGGTAGGTGGTGGATTTTAGCAGTGGTGACAGTGACACTGAAGATAAGCCACATTCCAGATGGCTCAACACAGATGTCACACTACAAAATTTATCCACGTGAAGCAGCAGATTGTAATCAGGAAACTGTATAGGATAAGTATCTACTTCAGTGTGTCGGAAATAATGTTGAAATATCACAAAGCTTGCGCTGAGTGCCAGAAACGCTCACACAGGAACAGAAAGAACACTGTACGAAAGTTTGTCAGGACCCACTGAGGCTGAAAGTGAGTTTCCTCAACTGCACCATTACCAGTGATGAGATGCGGTGTCAGCACTGAGTGACTGAGTCAAAAAGGCAGTTCTTGGAGCAGCAAGATGTGAATTTTCTATCAAAGAAAAAGACAAGACACAGCTCTCAGCAAGTACAGTAATGCCTTTTGGGATAGGAAAGGTGATCTGTCTGGATTTCCTGGAATCTGGACAAACCATCAACTCTGACCCATACATCATGATGAAGGCTCCAACTTCCAGAGTCAAGCCAGAGAAGAAGACAACCTTTCTCCTGTCACACAATAACTCCAGGCCCCATACATGTTTGAAGACCATGGATCACACTGCCAATCTTGGCTGGACTGTCCTACCACACCCACTGTGTAGTCTGGATTTGGGGCCTCCTGATTTCCACCTGTTCAAGCTGAAGAAAGATGGACAGCATAGGCAACATTTTCAATGCTGGGGAACAGTGGGTCACCACCAGTGGGAGACACAAATTTTTATATCTGTGGCATGCATGCTCTTGTTCATTACTGTTGAGAATGCATAGCTAATGGTGGCGACTGTGGTGAAAAGTAGTTTTGTAGCTCAGAATTTGCTCTATCAAAGTGTTATTGTGCTCCTTGCATATGTTGTAGTTTCCATGAATATAAACAGGAGGCATTACTTTCAGAGTGAGCTACATATTATTAAGTTCCCCTGAAGCTTACTCAAGCAGGATTAGATTTTGCTGCCCCATACATTTATTAAGAAATGAGATTGTGACAAAAAGAGTAAGAATAGTAAAGAAAAAGCTTTTGGGTTTTTTTTTGTGCCCTAATACTCTTTGAGATAGATACAGAAGAACCTTTTTACTTGCACACAGCCAGCACCTACTGGAATCAGGTCATCTCTGCACCTACAAAGGACAATGTACGCACAAGTCTCACAGTAGAACTGAGGTTTTAGTGTAAATGAAGTTGGCTTTAAGTTAGACTACTAGGAAAGTAAATGATATTTCTCACTCAGTAAAGACTTAAATTTAAAAGCAACCCTTAGTCTACATGAGAAGGCTGAAAATCAATATTTGGTCCAGTCACTACCGGCATAGATAACATTAATACAGCTGTGATGGCATAAATTATCCTTCCTGGTAACTTATAGAAAGAAAATGCTCAGTAAGTCATTTTTAAGAAAAAAAAAATCTACTGATCTGATTTAGATTATCACGTCTCAACCCAGAACATAATTACTACAAAGATATCACGAATTATATAGATGAGGAGTTGTATACGTTGTTTTCACTTCTGTTGATGATTTAAAATTCAGTTTGGGTAAGTAGGTGTTATTTTTAACACAGGACATTTTGCAGTGATTTTGGTCCTTCTGCAAGTGCATTCTTCTGAACTCCCTGAGTACTGTACATTCCTCTTCTACAGTGATTTTTAACTAGAAGATGCTGAATAAAGTCGATCTGCAGTGCTGTCTATTAAGTCTACTGCTTAAAGAAAAGCAAAGTAGCTTAAGACTTTATAGAAGATGCAAATGCATGTTTCAGTATTTTCTCCCTACACTCCTGAACCAAGTGTAAGCCTTTGAGTTACCCACGTTTCTCCTTCAGATTCTATTAGTGATTGTTTTTACAACATTAAAGAAAGTAAGAATTGAATTGTCATCATTTATACCTTGGCAAATCATTCTTACTGATATCTGCAAGTTAACACAATGGAGTTATTAAAAGCCCTCAGGAACAGCACATTTCATTTCAGGCACTATGAGGTCAGTAGCTACAGCCATGAAATTTGTTATTTTTTTTGTAGAAACACAAATGGTAGTAGCCATCCAAACACCTAACTCAAAACACAGTAGTTCACAGCAGCAAATAATTTAAAAAAAACCCTACTATTAGTAAAAGATTTATCACTTCTATACGAGTACAAGCAAAGCCACTGCTGAGAATACACTATAGTACATCCAGTTCTGAAAATACCTGTGGGTCAAAGCAGTGCTGGTGAGCATTTGCTTACTGACACTTTCCATTTTCATAAAAAACAAGACTGGTAGCACATTCATACATAAAACAAACTCAGGTAAGATGTATTTAGGTTTTTTTTTTTTTTTTTAAATAATTTATAAAACAACAAATTATTAAGAGCTCATTACGTAAAGTCAGTATAAGGATTTTAAAGTTACTGAATCAATCAGTATATGCTAAAGATACTTTGATACCAAATGATGCTTCCAGTTATGTAAGAACTTTGACTTACTTAGCTCATTAATGGATAAAACTACACCTTAAATTTAACAGATATGGCTGAATTTGTGCACTGGTTTAAATATAGCTGCATGTAAAAAGGTTGTTTTTTGTTTTTTTTTTTTTTTACAATGTATATGCATGTACATACTTTACTTACCAACAAACATAATGCAGACAACAGAAGGCAGCACAGAAATAGTGTTTTAAATAATAATATTTTTAAAAAGTTAAAGTTTTTTCAATTCAGTAGAAAACGTGTAATTCACATTTTGGCAGACTTACCAGTACTAATATACAAAACTTGGAAAAAAAACACATGCAAAGAGACTGAGGTTATACTTAACAGCATTTAAGGGAAAACAGAAACACCTCGCAGATGTGAGAAGTACTTTGCAATTAATGGGAAGAGCATCCAAACACAACATAAAACGCAAAAATGGTTTTAGCTTTGTTCTTTTAAACTTAGTTGTATCCTACTACAGCTTGTGAGTTCTACTTCGATGCTCAATAAAAAAAGAGAATCAGGTCTTTCTTCCTTCCACAAATGTTTTGTTAAATTCAATTGATTTCAGAAGAAATCTGGTACTGTGGTCACAGGAAAACAAACAAAAAAACAAAAAAAAAATCAAACAAGTATGGACATGAAATGCTATCAAAAGAATAAGCACACCCCAAAGATATATTTTCTTTCCCCTGTTTACAACTGCATTTGTTGAAACAAAACAAAAACAAATCCCACAACTTTTACAGCATCAGACCAACTATTGGCTTTTCTAACAAACTTGGTAAGTATTCTCCCTGTAAATCCTGTTTCTCTTAAGCATTTAGCAGTTGTCCTTACACACAACATGCTAATGTCTCTGAAGGAATTCAACTAGACTGTATGTTAGCTGCTCCAAAAGTAATGCCTCCTATTGTATTATGTTGGCTCACAATGTCGGAGGCAGATGGCGGTGGTATAGCAGTAGAAGTTGAACTTTCCCTCCAATAGTCCACTACATTTTGTCGCCATGTGACAGATGACAGCAGACGGGCAGTCTGGGGAAGTGGGTGTGAAGTGTGTGTGACTGAAATTCCTCCAATAAAACAGGAAACAATTGCACCCACTGACATTCACTGACGCATGCTGAACGTTTCTGGAGATCAACAGTGGATGTGAGCACAGTGAGGCAGCGGGTGGTGCATTTCAGCAGTGGTAAGCGATGTGAAAGACAAGCTATGTTCCAGATGGCTGTACACAGCTGTCACATCATGAAATGAAGAGTGTCTCGATCAGACCACTTGCTTGAATCAGTGAGTTATGAGCAGGAATCCAGTGCAAGGCTGAAAGTGACGGTTTTCTGGATCGCATTACTGATAATGTGATTTGCTGTCAAAATTTTGAGCCAGTGTCAAAACAGCAGTTCACAGAGCATGAATTCCTCACAAAAAGTTCAGGATGCAGCCGTCAGCAGGTAAAATGTGTGCACAGTCTTTTGGGATATGAAGGCGGTGATCCTTCTAGATTTCCTGGAACCCAGAGAAACCATCAACTCTGACCGCTCCATCATAGCGCTGATTAAGCTGAAGGCTTAATCCAGAGCCAGGCTGTAAAAGATCAACAAAAAATACTTTATGACCTTTTGGGGTGTGCTTGGTATGTCTCAAACACTTGCAGTGCAAAGCAGTTGCCGTGACAACTAGCTGACAGGTGGGACGTGACATAAACCAAAAAAGAAGAGGGCCTTTCTCCTGTAACATAGTAACTCCATGCCCCATACTAGTTTGAAGACTGTGGATCACACTGCCAATCTAGGCTGGACTGTTCACCACATCCATCGTATTACCTGGATTTGGCGCCTTCTGATTTCCATTTGTTTGAGCCGACGGAAGACAGACTGCATGGACAACATTTTCCTATGAACCATGCCATCAAAGCAGCCATAGAACAATGGGTCAACTCCGCTGGTACAGGTTTTCACAAGCACAGCATGCCAGGCTCTTGCTCGTTACAGTCGAGAATGCATAGCCCATGGTGGTGACTATAGTGAAAAATAGCATTTTGCAGCCAAGAACTTGCTCAATCAAGTAATGTTACTGTGCTCTTTGTGTATGTCGTAGTTTCCTTGGAAATAAATAGGAGGCATTACTTTCGGAATGATCTACTTTTTTTTTCTGACAAATAAGATTCAGCTTTTCATGTTTCACTGAGAGTGTTTATTCTGTTTCAGCTGCAACGTCTAACATGTTCCAAAACATATTCAGGGAAGTGCAAGCTGCAGACCTGTAAGCCATCCAGCTTGCAGGGCATCCTTGGGTATTCATCTTCTTTCCACTTGTTTTCCTCTGGATCAAAGGTGAGAATTGAGTCACTGTAATGACCATTGTAACAGAGGCCTCCAAGAACCATTATCTGTTTGTCCAGAACAGCTACACCGTGACCACTCCTACCAATTGGCATAGAAGCCAATATAGTCCACTGATCAGTATCAGGGTCGTAAACCTCTGTAGAGGGACATCCTTGAGATTCAAAGGAAGCCCTGAGGATCACACAGACACCTCCAAAGACATAAAGCTTACCATTGTAAGAAATCATTTTGTGAAAGCATCTTGCATAATTCATTTTGCATTTGTTCTCCCAACAGTTAGTGACCACTTGAGTTCTCCTTGTTCGCTGCTCTACTGTCCCTTCTTTACTGGGATCAAATACACACACTTGCTTAGAAGTTGAAGATGATGTAATTCCACCAGTGATATACAACTTGTTCCCCAGCACAGTTCCTTCATGTCCATATTTATTGACTGGATAGGGATCTACAAATTCCCATTTATCTTCAGTAATATCATACCGTTCAGTTGAATAAAAGGTTTCATCCCTGGTTCTCCCAGCCACTGCATAAACGTACCTCCCAATAACTCCAACAGCAAACTCAGAACGCGGGACAGACATGTCTGCCATTCGTAACCAAGTGTTCTGTCTTGGGTCATATCTAAACACTTTGGATGAAGCATGAAACTCACCATCTGGCCCCAGTTCTTCCCCACCTAACAGGAACACAAAGTTATTCACAATGGCAAGGCAGTCTGGTCGTAAAGGTACTTGAGGACCCTCTAGTTCCCACCAGACCCTCGGTTTGTGCAAGAGAAGAATTTTACTGTTTACCATACTGTGTCCTATCATTCCTCTAAACACGGCAGTCTGGGGTTTGGCAGAACGAATTTTGTTCGATTTCATTTCCATCAAAGGCTGCTGGTGAACGCTATGAAAGTAATTCATGGCTTGGTCAACCTCATGTCGCAGCTGCCGGGAGTATCGGTAAAACTCTGATGTTTTTACCTATGAATACATTTAAAAGATATTAAAATTCTGACCAAGAGAAACAATTCAGAAAACCTAAATGGCTATGTGTAATTTAAAAATTATTTTACTTAGACTAAGTCAGGTGTTCTCAACAGCAATTGCATTCATGTATGAAGGTTTAAGATAACGTACAGTTATTCAAAATCTACAAGGTAGTTTAGTGATTAAAAGCACAGTGGCTAATGTTGTCACTGGAATACTCACACACAAAATTTAAGCAGGGATTACGCACAGGTGAAACGCCCAATCATTATTCCTTCTTCCCAAGAAGGCCTCTTTACACCTTCTGCTTCACTGATGAAATGTCTAAGTTAAAAGCGTACTATTTCCCTGGTTTTTAAAGATATCCTGCACACCCATTCTTATTTACCTAAGTCCACTCTAGACTGACTTCTAATGAAGTCTCACAACAGAGCCCAAGTAGGTATTCCCAAACATTACACTCTGCTCACAGGACTTATTTGTGATGGAAAGGCAAGGTTCAGAATCCCTTCCTTCAGAACACGCAATCACATTTCTCACTCTACAAGGTTCCCTCTCCGTATGTCTCCTCCAGCTAACACATACCTTTAGTACAAGAAGAAAACATATCTATCAATATCCCTTTGCTTGCGCATTTTACTGGTGAATTGTGCAGGTAAGTTTGAACTTCCATCTCCCAAGTGAGCCTTACAACCTTTGTACTACTGCCTAGTTATGACACTCACCTCACTGTCAGTCCTCAGTTTGAAGAGCCTGCTCAAATTTTCTTAAAGAACCATTATAAGACTCTACCTACTATCTAAGCTAATTTTGAGTTCCTCCAGCTGGCTCTGCGATGATTCCAAAACACATCCTCTGATTGAAACGTTCCAAACATTTTTATTTGTCTAGCACCAAACAGGTCTTGGATTACCTCCTGCTGTACAGACAGCCTTGTCTCACCACAGCATTCTCACTTACACCATTAAAACAAATTTTAAAAAAACAAACCACAACAAAAACGAACAGCTAAATATTGCCAAATGCTCAAATCCTCTATCAGATTTTTCACATAAAACTGGACTGCCTTTGAAAGCTCTGTACACCATTAATTCCTACCACCTCCAGAACAAGGAGCAGTACTTTAAAAAAATGTCATGCCAGTCCAAAATTTCAAAGCAACCACAAGAAAACACGAGATGATAATGTATTTCAGTATCTGTTCCCCACCACTTTGCATTCCTTTTCCCAAGGGACAAAAGCCTGTACCACCACTATATAAGTAGCAGTGGTGTTAATGAGTTTTCGTGTATATGAAAAGCAATTTCAGACAGCTTCTCAAGACAAGTGAGACAGTCTCTTAGTAGGTTACTACTTAACTTGGTAAGGGCACCAATATAAAAGCAAATCCCCAATCTCTTGCCGTAAACCAATAAGGCAACAAGAAGCAAATGCATCTACCAATTATAAACAACTGTCTAAGACTAAAATATGTAGAGAAGTTGCCTACAAGCACAGACCTGAAGAGATATGAGTTCTCAGAATACTGAGAAAAGAAAAACAAGGTGACAATAGCCTGTTTATCTATATTTCTGTGAGAAAACATACCTGGAGGTTTCCTAGCCTTTGCTGTTGGGAAAAAATGCTCTCACCAGCACAGTCTCTACCATATACAAACCATACTTCTCCTGAGGCTCAAATGATGGTCTAAGATGAATGCTAGTATATGCCTACATGAGCAAGTAGAGACTGCTCACGTTTGCTTGATATTAACAAACACAAGGTAACTGCAGGACAGTTTGCCCACTTTCATATTCACGTGTTTTCTGTGTGAGAGCTTTCAAAATTACGCTGAAGTCCTATTCAGCCCATCGGAAGGAAAATTTCCCATACACCTATACTTTTTAGTAATTTTATAATAATTTGCATGTATGTGCAAAAAATGAAGCAAGCACTGAAACTTAAGTGTTTCACTATTAAAACACAACAGTGGATTTGGCAAGTTTTAGTAAATTAAGAATATGACAACAAGCCTTCTGTGGGAACCGCTGTCTGATACCCAAAATATGCTGAAGGAAAATGCTTAGCATCCAAAAGTATGCTTCTGTCATTCCCTGTAACCAAGAAGCAGTTGACCAAGAAATATCTAAGTGCTAATGTACCAATTTTTTTTTCTGTTAAGTTCAAATGAAGAAGCTCTAAAAGGCTCACGTACCCAATTGGTAGCATATAAAATCAAAGAGAATGCTCATAAGTTTGTTCAAAAAATGTGACACATGGACATATACACTGACTGGGATGAATCTTGAGGTGAAAAAAATGTGCACTGTTAAGAGCACACTATCAGCTCTGAATTGATTAGAAAAATACAAAAGCTTTACAGCATTCTCAGAGTTTAAAGAAAGACTTTCTGTTCTCCTTCCGGTTGATAAAGTTTCATTTACGATTTTTTTTCGCATTCTTCCCAATATTTCCCTTCAGTTTTCTCTATAAAATCTTCTTAAAGAGGGTCTGATAGGACATAGCATCAATGTAACTGTTACCCAGAGGTGAAATATCTTATTACATCATCTACCAGTTACAGCTATTCAGTCAGACAGGCAGGGAACATCATGAATATAATGAAATGTGCCTTTTCGTAAAAAGAGGATTAAAGATAATTAAAAACATCAACCTACATTCATCCCTCAGGTAGCCAACACCAAACACATCAAAGTTTCAACAAAACTGTTGCCATCCACCCAGCCATAGTACACTGGAGCTGGAACACATTTTCTTCATTTTGTATCAATGAAACACTGCCTTCCCAAAATAAAGCAGCTACTGATCCTTGTCTGTTTTCCTGCAGAACTGCAACAATTGCCAATTGCTCTTCTAGTCCGACTGGCTATAGGTTTAAGAATTTCTCTATCTACATTTTAACAAGAGAAGAAGTCAAAAGACAAGCCCTTACACTAGTTTCTATCTGAAAAGTAAAGTGGCCCCTGCAAAGCATCAGTGTTCTACATTACTCTTTTCTTATTTTTCCCTTTTAACAAATAAGCAAATTACTAAGCAGAAGAAAGGTAATGAAATGCAAGATAAGTTTTCTGTAACAAAGTTTGTCTTCAGTACAGAGCTTACTTTTTTTCCAGCAACCACATACAAGTATTGCTATATTTTTATTTTTGTTATCTGGTGTTTTAGGGAAAAACCATCCAGAAAGACACTTTTAGTTACCCAGTTAACACATAGCTGATGTTTGAAGTGGGCACTCCAATCTTAACATGTTATTGTCTGGGGTACAAATGAGCCTGGTTCCTTCTGTAGATCCAGTAAAAACATCAACAACCACAGAATGGCTCAGACTGGAAGATACCTCAAAGCCCACCCAGCCCCAACCCCTGCCGTGGGCAGGGCTGCCCCCCACCAGCTCAGCTGCTCAGGGCCCATCCAACCTGGCCTTGAGGCCTCCAGGGATGGGGCACCACAGCTTCTCTGGGCAGCTGTGCCAGCACCTCACCAGCCCCTGGGGAAAGTAATCCCTCCGAAAGTAAAAAATTTCCTCCTAAAATCTGGATAGCACATAACATGATTTTAGCACTCCCAGCCACATAAGAAAAAACTGTTTCAAAGATCATAAAGTTTCACTTACTTGTGAGTTTTCTAAAATTAGTAATTCTGAATATTTAAGTGAAGTAATACAAAGTCGATACACGGAATACAGAAATTATGCTATGTCTTTTCAATGAACAAAGATATTTGTAGCAGATTTCTAGAGAGCTTATTCTTCCTCTTCCTTGCAGATAAATAAACAATTGAAATTTGACCGGGATTATGCTGACTGAAAACTAAGGATTCACCAGCCTTCCTATGGTTCATACTGTTTTCATATCTACTTATCTCTGGCCATATTCAGAACATAATTATAAGCCTGTCAAAAAACATTATCAAACTTTTGACACGCTGACTGAATTTCGAATTTTGAAGTGAAACACAAAAAGTTAAACATGTCTCTAAAACGGCAGCAACCAAAGTCAACCTGCAACCAATACACAATACCACGGATAAGTTGCTGTATTTAACTTTTCCTTTTTCTAGTCTGGGTCTCTACTTACATGTGGAAACTGGTCAGTACCTGCACAGGACTTGGAAGGGCTATTCTGCAAGAGCTACAAGCACTTGGCATTTGTCAGCCTAGCTATAAAAAGATAAAACGACACAGCCTCTATGCAGCAAGGACAATACTGTCAAAATCAGTGTCTCACCAGTTTATAAAAGGGAACAGCAAGAGAAATTGTCACAGTCAAGCTGAAATGTAACTGCAAAGAACTCTCAGAACAAAACCAGCCATCTGTACGCCAGAACCAAGGTGCTCAGCAAAAGATAAATACTGCTAGCAAGTCTATCCAAGTCAGTGATAAACCTCAGACAAATACAAGTGCAGAGCCCATTTAAGAGAAGTAGAAACCTCTAACCTTGACCACTAGGCACTTCTTGTTCTTAACTTCAGCATATGAAGTTGTAGAAAATATTTGAAGTGATTCACTAAACATGGAGGTGAGAAAAACATCGATAAAAAAGCGCTGAACATCTCTAAAGACAAAATGCCAGGGACATAAAATTATAATGCCATCTTTCAAAAATGATGACATGCTAGTCCAGGAAACCACATACGCAACGACGGACTAATTAATATGCTTTTCATCCTATCTCTGAAGTACAGGTTGATACTCCCAGTGATTAAGTTTCTGATTTAAACTGGGAATTCATTAATCAGCATGGACTAGTTGTAACCCTACACAAAAGGCACTAGAAAAAAACCCAGTTTTAAGCTCACAGAGTTTTGAAACAACGCTTCATCTGTTCTTATATACAAAAACTAAACGGAGATTAATTAAAATATGCAGGAAAGGCACTACATGCTCACAGTACAGTAACAGACAAACTCAACTTTCCTCAAGCCTTGCAGAGCCCAGGATAGGTTTCAAATAAGATGGATGTAACATGCACAGTGGAACGCGTGCTTCCTAGCCATAAAACCTCTCCTTTCTTTACCAACGATTTCCTCAAATCCTTCCATTTTCCTCATCCATCTACATTAATGGCCAACCAACAACAGAAGTACCTATTCCTACCTCAGAGGCAGTTCTTCCAGGCAGTTCAGAGCAAGCACACAGGCTACACCTTCCCTTGTGCATCCCATGTGCATGTCAGTCTTGAGGTATTAACCCAGTCACTCATCACTTCCCTTTGAAAAATACAAGCCATCCCACTCAGACTGCAAATCTCTCTTAAAACTGCTGTAAGAAACAAAATGGCTTAAGATGCATAAAGTATTCTCTCTGTGACATGGAAAATTAAGTTATGTAAGTTATTTATGTCTCAGGATAATGCCAGGCATCTTAGAAATGTCTATTAGAAAGATTACATAAGAATACATATGACAAGTCAGTGACTGTATTGTGAATGCTGAATTTGCTCAACTGTAAGAATCAGCCTCAGACTGTATTTGGTACATTCACAAAGGATTTTACCCTGTGCTTCAGCAAAGGATAAATTTTTATCTGTTCTGCACTCTCCAGAAAAGCACAGTTACCAGTATTTTCCCCTTCCTACACAAAGGAACGCGTTTCCTTCAAGTTACTGACAGAACAGTTAACAAACATGCTCTTTTATTAAATAAAGAAAAATTTTAAAGCTCGGTCATATTATTATGTTTGCTTCAACCGCAGATGTCTTTTGTCACTGGTCACGCTGAGTTACTCAGCACTCTCCAGCCAGGTCAAAAAAACATTCTTAGCTGCAGTGGTGAATGACATCCATGTTTAGCTCTTCTTCCCTCTGCTTAACATAGCACAGTCCCACAATAGAAATTTGACTGGTTTCGTTCCACTGTCGCATGCAATTAACAGATAGGGCATTCACAAAAAAAAAAGCTTTTACAGGTGACTATGTAGCCTGGGATGCTGAAAAAGACATCTCTGCTTTAGTTTAGCTGCTTGTAGATGCCAAGAAAAATTGCAAGAAGCAATGCATGCAGAATAGATATCAGTGATACTAAACCAACTTCAGAAGTTAAACCTAAATAGAACCCTAAAAAAGCACAACACACATTTTTCACTTGTGTTTGCAGAAAATTACACTGAAGACAGTTTGATACTTGAACTCCTATCCCAAAAACTCAAAGAGTTGAAATAGACTCTTTCACGTGTATTTTAACATATGTCATTGACTATAAGAATATCTGGTGATATCAGTTTTCCTAATGAAGACCTTAAACTATGCAATGAAGTACAAGTTTTATTACAAGCAAGACACTACACAGCATCTTGCAGATTCCAGCTCTTACTAGCTGGAATCATTTTTAACCTGATATAAACATCACATTAGTGTTCTAAAACAATTCTAGGTAATTAGATTTATTTTATGTCCATAGGCTAATATAGGCTTGTCAATATAAGTTACGTATTAGGTCTACTCAATCCACACACACACACAAAACAATAAAAAAATGTAATAATTCAGTCTGAAATAATTAATAGTTTTTATAATTTATAATACAGTCTTATCTGTATATAGATACCAAAGTAAAAATGTATGAGAAAATAATGGTAAGAAGCCCAACAAAATACACAGGGAGTTAAATCCTACTAATTCACTGAGAGGTGAAAAATACAGAATTTAAAAGTTCATCTGAACACACAAGATTAATAACAGTGACATAACATAATAGCACAAGCTGAAGAACTCCTAACTTGAATACCCTTTCAGTTACTAGCCTGTGAGAGCTGCTTACAAGCTTTGAGTTCTCTACCCACATCAAATGTTCCCGAGTTTCTCAGGAACTAGAGAGCAACATTTTTTGTCTATTCTTCAACAGAGCAGTGGAAAAAGCAAGTTCTCATTTAACCTCTTAAAACATACAATCATTAGTTGAATTTTTTGTCACCTCTTACAAAGACTCCTCTGATATTTCAAGTAAGTCGTTACATTTCACACTGTCAATCACTTTTGATCGTATGATATGCCTTGAGTAAAATCACATGGATGTGGAACTGTGCAGGATCGGGGCTTACTCCTAACTGCTGTATAACAGCACAGGTACTGAAGATACAATAAAAACAAAAACACTGCAGATTTAACAGCAGATGTCAGTTTTCATTTGTAAAGAAGAAAAATGTACTTAAAACACACAAAATCTACAGTGAGCACGTTTTGATTATATCAGTAACATTTGTCACAACGTATGCTCTACAAAATCTCTGGGAAGCAAGAAACAACTTGCGGAAAACAGAAAGAATGACTGAAATAAAACCAGATACAAGTGACCTTATCTTAAAATGTCTTTTCATATGAAGTTACTTCAACACATATATTACAACCTACCTGTTCTCCAGCCACTGTACATACTATTGCCTAACAATCAGGTGGCAGTACTTATAGATGTTTGCTTTCTACGGGTCTACTGTTCCTCCTAACAGGAGTGGGAATCCTACTTGTTTAATGGTACGTTGCCCTAGCTAAATGATGAATTCTGCCTACTGCTTTTCAAATGCACCAACCTTCTCAAAAACACTGGATGGTGTCATCAAACAAAACCTGATGTTCTGAATGATGGTGTCCGTATGCCTCCAGCGTCTTCTATCATGGCGCAGCCAGGCCTGAACAGCTTCATACAGCTCTATCTCTGGAAACCTGCTCAGATGATCATTATCCAAGTAAGACATGAGCTTTTCAAAGCTCAGATATGAAAGGAAGTCAGGTCTGGACATGAGCGGCACAAAATTCTCTAGCAGGAAAGAGTCTAATTTTTCCCTGACTCCTTCGATGTTTACACCAAAATCATCCAGAAGTCTCATGATTTCTGCACAGTTTTCTAGGCAGATTTTAGCTAGGAGAAAAGAGCAGCAAAATTTTACCACCTCTATAAGCTGGACGTACATGGCAGCCTGAAGGATTTCGTGAACAGTGTTCATACTCAGTTCAATAGTTCCATAATACATGAATTGGAGGACATGACTGAAGCCTGTAGCTGTCAGACCTTTCAAATGGATTTTGTCCTGATCTCGTTCCCGCATGTCAGCTGTGAACATAATCCTGAAGTAATCACTCTGGGTGGCAAGCAGTGCTTTATGGGCCTGAAATTGGTGGTCTTCAATGACAAGTGTGACATCAAGAAGCAATCCCTCCTCATACAGTGCTCTGAATCCAGCAGAGACACTGGTGTCATGGATGGAGGAGCTAAACCCTTCCACGTCCCCTGCCATGAATCACCTGAAGAAAAAATAAAATAAAAATAAAAATAAATTATTTCTAGTATTGAACACATCACAAGCTCTTTCTGACCAGATAAATGCAAACAGAAGTTACTTTCATCAAGACTTAGAAGTCTTCCCCATCCTTCTTGTCTTCTGTTCAGCTGAAAAATTAACTTGAGATTTAAAACTGAAACTTCAATTATTTCCCACCCCAAAATATTCTCCATTTAAAGGTAATGAACATGAATAACTATGAGATAACACCAAAATGATTCCTCATTTCAAACTACTCAGAGGTTAGGATAATGCATATACGATGCCAACTTCACCACTGTTTTCTCCCTCCTCTCTTCTATCTTTCCATAGTTATCTCAGGAAAGTAATGAAACACCCCATCTTGAGTAGCAAAGGTTTAAGAAAGGAAGCAGAACTTCCTTCACTTCAGAAACAAACTCCAGAAGGCCCATACAAAACACAATCTCCCCCCAAAACGTAGTATTTTTTAAAATGTGTGTTAGTTTACTCATAAATTATTGCAAGGAAACAGAACAGAGAGATATTATTCAAGTTTCTGTCCCGTCTTTCTCAGAACACTACAGTCCAGTATTTCCATTTCTTATTCTCAGCATTATTTATGTAATGAGATTTATAAACTGCTGGACACCAAAGCCATAGGAAGCACTAACAGGATTACATGATAAAATAATATTTTACGTGCGGAGTTTGGCAAAGCTTAAGTGTTTATTAAGCATATGAATATTAATAAACATACAGCGCTGCTTCTGTGCAAGTCAGAGTCAACTGCAAATAAGCAAAAAAAAAAAAAACACAACAAAAAACAAAACAACAAAAACAAACGAAACACAAAACCATCCCAATGCCCTGTTAAGGAAACCAAATATTCAGTGAAAAAAAGCTGCATCAAAAACTACTCCAAATACAAGAACTTCTCAACATCTTGCACCCAGTGTCTAGCTGAAGGGCAGCTCCATTAAAAAGTCTGAACTAAACCAACAGTTTATGATCGTTCCCCACAGCAACTGTTCACTCCACTCCCCCTATCTGTCATTCTGGAATCTGAGCTCCTCCTGTCTACTCTGTGCATTTTTTGGTGTTTCTTGGACTGTTCTGGAAAACCCATTCAACACATAAATAAACCTGACAGAAAATAAACTGTGAGAAACACCAAATACAGATGTGATGCAAAAGGCAGGACATCACAAATTAGCAGGAAAATGGTGGAAGGGTAACACCCTCCCCTTTTGGCATTAATAATCCATTACAAGTGGCTCAGCCATTTTTATCTTCACCCCACCTTGAATCACACTGGAGAATTCACTCAGACTGCTATTTGTGCATTTAATTACTTAACTCTGACATTCCCATGACTGTTAACAATTGGAAGCAGTACCGTACTGATGCTGTTGGTCCACACACAAAGCCAAGTACCATTAAGATCAATACATGTAACGAACTGTTAATTTTCATGGCAACAGAGTGCTAAAACAGAGTATGGACAGAGTTGGCCGAGGTTTCGCAACTTCAGAAAGCAGTTACTGCGTTGTAGCCAGCTTCCTCAGTTCTACCTGCTGCCATTGTAACTGATGCGTATTTGATTGGACTCCATAAACAGATGACCAGCTCCTCCCTTCAATCTGCACCCATCCTGGGCAGAAAAAAAACGGAGTTTTTCCTTGTCCATACAAAGGTGAGTGGGTGTCGGTAGCTGCACCTCATGGAACGCTCACCACTCCCACACCGTTGAAGCCTGCTGACAATAGAACTGTCAGGAGCATACATGAAAACTGTGGCCTGACAAGAGAACTCAAACTCCTCAAGGTTAGGGCAGGAGCAAGAGACAAAGCTGTCAAGCCAATCACTTTGCCAGCAGTATCCATGGTAGCACACTCCCCTCGATGTCCCTGAAGATAGAAAATTCAAACTGCTCTAGAACTACGTGTTTTGAGTCCCTTGCTCCTGAATACAGCACAACCCTACCAGAAAGGAAAAAAATCATCAAACACTTATTTTCTTAGTTGTTAATCATTCTTGTATAAAAGCAGGCAATTATCTATCTCAAGAAATAGCTATCTCAAAAAGAAGCAACAAAGCGATGAGGAAGCATAAAGCTTGTGCTTCCCAATAGGATTTATGATACCAAATACAAGACAAGCAGTAATATTAGCATTTTTTTCTTTCATTAGAACATCTATAATACCCTCCTTCCACTCCCTGCTCTCTGATGTTGAGCTCACACTTCAATCTTTTCTCCTTACGAAATTTAATGGTCACTTGGCTTTTAACACCACCTCCCCATTTCCATAAAATACTCAGCAATGTGCGACAACTACTTCTCAGTTTAGTTTGAAATTGAACCAGGGGCTCAATGGTGAACAAGATTCTCAGACAGTACAACTGGGTAACATACATTTCCTCAGGAGACCAACCAAGCTGTGTACCTCAGTTCCAACTCCAAGATGAACCGAGGTGACAGCACATAAGGACAGGACATAGCTGGAATTTGCAAATGTTAGATGTGAACAGACTAACAGAGGAAGATATATTAAAAAGACCAAAAAAAGCAAGATATGATAATCTGGAAGTAATGGGATCTCTGACCACATTGGCTTATTTGGCTCATGCAGGTCCAAATCTCAAGGAAAGGATTTCTTCAAAACAGAACACATTACTGCATACAGAAGGATCATAACAGTACCAAGAACCTCCAAAAGACATGCTGGGGTCTTTTCCCTTGACTTGAAAAAGACTATTACATTATATGTACTCTACAAATACAAAGAAAGAAACTTGGGGCTTTAAAAGAACACTTACACCACCCTCAATGACATGAGGAGTTGGCAAGCGAAGGTAAGCAGAGACAAATCATAGAAGGCAAAAGCACCAACTCCAGAGGACCACTTCCAAAGTTTCTTTTAAGCACAAAAACAAATGAGTATGTCATGAAACCTCCAACGCAACATCAGACAGCTTTGGGCAGCCAGTTCAGAGCAAGGGGCTCGGACCGCACAGGTCCACTCCAACTTCAGCCATCCTGTCATCACACTGCTTTTAAAGCAACTGTACCAATTTTCATTTAATAAAAATTCTATTAAAAAGGCAAAAAAAAACCCATCAGAAATAAACAATTACCATTCAAATTTTCAATGTATCAAAAAAGTAAGGAGGTAGGAATCACCAAAATGTGTTAAATAAATAAAGACAGCATCGAGGGAGCACTTCTTAGGCTCCAATTTCCACACGTCCCTGAAAGCGATTACTTGGTAAAAAACATTAAAACAGGAAGTCAGATACAAAACTCTTCAACAGAGGCAAGTAATCAACACTCTGAAATCATTATTTCAGAATGCTTCAAAAACTATTAAGTTTTAAGTCATTTAATTCTTCTTTTCACATCCCCTGTATTATTTTCACTAAATCCGCATTTTCCAATACTAGAATATGTTTCATCACACACATCACACTGCATTTAACGGATTACTTAAGAAGAGCCAAAAATTATAAGACTTCTTCAAAACCCTTCTAAAGTTCCAGAATTTTACAAGCAAAGTGGGAAAGAATATTCATCTCCCTCTACTAAATGAGTAAATTCCCCTTTACTGGTACTAACCCATACACTGTATCAGAAGTTATAGTTTTCTTTACAATACAAAAATGTATTGGGCAGCACATTTATTTTAACAAGGGGTTAAAATAGTACAGAGACTGAAAGACTTAACAGTTAAATGCCTATTATGACCAAGTGGGAGAACTCCTCATTTCTAAAGCTAGCACACTAAGTCAAAAGCAAATGGCACTGCGGCCATTTGAATAACAGAAAAGCATAACAAAATACTCACAAATAAAGCCATTTTTCTAAAGCAGAGCTATCTTCATTCCTCCCACACACTTTCAATCTTAGATGTAATTCTATGAGCTATTCAAATGCTGCAGCTTATTTCCCTGAAGATAATAACGTAACATTTTTTCCCCTATTTTCAATAAAAATGCAAAATCCAAGAGTTACAGCTTTTTCCACCCGTGCAAATCACAATGGCTCACTTGATTTGAAGGAAGACGTAGCCTACGGTAGTCTGTAAGAAAAGTGGAACAAAAAGAAAATCCAACCTATAAACAATAAAGGGGGAAATAAAAAATCCCAAGTTGGCGTTCTGCATTGTCCTGCGCATACTGGAGCTGATGGGTATAATGCAGTACAGGAAGGAAGATTCTCTGCTGGAAGAAAAGAAAAACAACGAGAAATACTCTTAACCTTATTCGCTTTTCCTGACGTTTCTTTCATTACAGCATCTATTCTGCCATGACTGTAAAAGCTCCTTCTTGGAACATCAATTTCTCATCTTTATTCTGCAGTTGTAATAGAAGTCTGAAAACCCTGTTCCAGACTATTTTTCTTGCCAAACAAAAAGAACCTTCTTTACTCAGAGCGTCTGAGGCTTAGAGCAGAAGAGAGGGAGCCTCAATGCACAAGCTACTAAGGATGAAGTTAGGAAATACTCATTCGTGGTTTACGCCCTGCTTGAGAATCTACCCAAAAGCACAATTTCCCTAGGGGCAAAAAGAAAAATAAAATGCACTGCAAGAAGCATCTACATATATGCAAGCTCGCATGCACTTTCTGGGGATAGAAATGTGTTGTTCTGGTAAAGCAGTAATATATTCCAGCACAGCATCTGAAAGGCAGATTTTTGCTGATCCTTAATATCTCACTTGTGATGCTGAGACAGAACTAGCCACCTTATAAAACACTACTTGGTTCATTCTACCTGCCTCCTGGAAATTCCGAGAAAGGATCTACATGAGCATAGCTTTTTTACCGAATAGTACCTACAGATAAGACAAAATATATTTCACCAGACATACAGAGCAGTGTTTTGGTATCACAGTACCAAAACAGAGCTTAAAACCCCCAAATCTTTTCCATCTATCCCATTCCTTTCATCTGTCAAATGCAGGCATTTCAATGCAAATTTTAAAGCTGGTACATATGCTTTCTGT